GTGTTGCTGCCGCTCACGCTTTCCTCCTTCCCGCTGCAGATGACCGACGTGCAGGCAGGGGGCGCCACCGTCTTCACTGACATCGGAGCTGCTGTGAAACCCAAAAAGGTTCAACTACTCACTTTCTTCATCATCATCATCACAGAAACAAGTCTGTTTAATAAACCAAACTGAGAAACAGGCGGGCAGACGAGGGCGCCGCTTCTCAGTAATCTGACGCAGTGTCATGTGACCGTGTTTCTCCAGGGGACGGCGGTGTTCTGGTACAACCTGTATCCAAGCGGAGAAGGAGACTATCGGACCCGACACGCCGCCTGCCCCGTGCTGCTGGGAAACAAGTGGGGTGAGGTCATCGCGCCATATTCACACACGTGCACAGTAAAACAATAAATACACACAAAATCATCATCAAGTAAAAATACTTTCAGATTTTCACGCCTGGTGATGATTGACATAAAAAATTTCTTTTAAAAATTATTTTCTAAAAATAAGTAAAATAAAAGAACAAATCCAAACTCCCGTCAGTTTATATAAAACTGTTTTGGGTCATTAAAAGCTTCGTTATTATGTTGGAGTTGATTTATTTTTAAACGTTTGCGTTGATTGATGAATATTGGATGTTTTCTGGGTGTGTTTGCAGCAGCTCACGTGACTGCTGAAGGATTTTTGGTGTTTGATGTTTCAGATGAAACGAACTTGACTGAGCTTCATGAAAAGCTTCAGATTTGATGAGAAAGACGGAGAAACCTTCATGCTGCTCAGACTCGTGGCGTTTGTCGAGGCTCTGATGAAACTCTTTCTTCCTGCAGTATCGAACAAATGGATCCACGAGCGAGGGCAGGAGTTCAGGCGGCGCTGCAGCCTCAACGAGACCGACTGACGACCGACCTTCCTCCTCCAGCTCAGCTGTCTTCCTCCTCTGCTTCCTGCCTGCAGGCGCAGAGTGTGACTGCACATGTGATCCAACACGCTTATTTTTCTCTACAGCGTGTGTGTGTGTGTGTGTGTGTGTGTGTGTGTGTTTAACTCGTTTCTCCTTTAACGAGAATCACGCTGACGTTCAGACGTCCGTACCTGTCCAGGTGTTCAGCCTGAGAGCTAAAACTTCTCGAGAACAAAGAACGCTGCACGAGAGGTTCGTTTAAAGATGAATAAAGTTTTTTGGGGGTTTTTGGGTCCAGAATGTTTGAAATCTCGTGAGCTTTGACTTAAAAGCAGAAAATCTGATTGATTTAATTCTGTTCCATCGACGGTTCTGCCCATTAAACCAGCGAGTGGAACGAAGGAGCGCTAAATGTGACAAATTTTGAATGGAGTTTGGCCCGAGGTCGCTAACATGAGTCGAGTCAGACGCTACAGACCGAGAAACGCTCCGTCACCCGTGTCACTCCCTGACCTTCACGACTGTTACAAAGACGGCGAGGAATCAGATTACTCTCGTCATCACGGAAATCAACCAGAAGCAAGAACCGATCGAATCTGAACGACGATCGATCGTGTGGTTCTGTGAGACAATCATAGCTGAAACTGAGCTGCGTATTTATTGATTTCTGACAGGATTCGTGTGAACGCCTCTTCACTGTTTTTCATCTGTGTTTTAAAAATTCCTCTTTTAAAAGTTTTAAAATGTTTGCACCTTTTTTTTTTCTGTTTCCTGTTTCTTTTTGAAGTCTGAAACGTGTCGCCGAGCTCCTGCTCCTGATCTGATTCATGTCACCTCAGCCGTGACAAAGTGGGTTTTATTTTGGAAACTCTTCCACGCTTCAGCTGCCATGCTTTTATTCTGAAAAGCAGAACATCTGAGGCTCTTTGATTTACAAATTCAGTCCAAGTGGATTTTTCTGCGCTGTCCACCCGTCGTCATGGTTACACCTCCGTTTCCACCAATGGCGTGAGCGTTCGAGGAGGTTTAACCGTAAGGTCGTTCAGATGCTGCAGGTCAAACTCCAGATAAGCAAAGCACGCCGCCTCCTCTTAACCCTGTTAGCTTATTTCTGAGCGCAGTTACTAATTTCTGCTCCACGCCGTTTCCGTGACAACCCTCACTCCTGTTTGTGTGTGTCTGTTGTGTGTTGGATGATGTCCTGTGCAGTGACCTGATGTAAGACACGTTTCTTATCAGAATAAAATGCTGCTGCAACCCAGGAGAAGTAAGAAAATGGCGTCTGTCGTTATTCTCTGGCGGCAGCGTTGCCTCAGCAGCGTGCTGCTGCGTTTTAAAGACGGCGACCATTTATCATGTTTAAAAAAAGAAACAAACACTCTTCAAACGTATAAATTTAATAATCAAAAACAAAACGATTGATCAGCTGATCAGCGATGGACTACCTCACCCACAGGAAGACAACGTCTTTGGTTCAAGGCAGAAAACAGCAGGAATTGTGGGATTGTAGTTTTGCAGGGAGAACTCCGATTGGCCCTTTGTGCTGGTGTCGTGCGGCACGGTCAGAGATGCCTGTGTTAAGGCTCGGGGAGGCGGTAATCTGGCAGGTGATTTCCCTCGCGGACGCGTCCGAAGCAGCCGAGCAGCAGATCGATGGCGGTGCTGACGGTGGAGCGGACATCCTCCTCAGTCTGGCCCCTCAGAGGGTTCACCTCCACCAGGTCCACCGCCGACAGTAGACCTGCAGAGAGACAAAGAGCACATTTGTGGTAGCTTCAGCATCATGTGACCGCACAGTTCCTCTGATCGCTTTATAGGCGCATAAAGACTTTAACGTGAGTTCTTCGGCTGGTGGGGTGCTGCAGTCACTCCCCAAAGGCTGCGTCTGTACAGGGAGTGCAGAATTATTAGGCAAGTTGTATTTTTGAGGAATAATGTTATTATTGAACAACAACCATGTTCTCAATGAACCCAAAAAACTCATTAATATCAAAGCTGAATGTTTTTGGAAGTAGTTTTTAGTTTGTTTTTAGTTGTAGCTATTTTAGGGGGATATCTGTGTGTGCAGGTGACTATTACTGTGCAGAATTATTAGGCAACTTAACAAAAAACAAATATATACCCATTTCAATTATTTATTTTACCAGTGACACCAATATAACATCTCCACATTCACAAATATACATTTCTGACATTCAAAAACAAAACAAAAACAAATCAGCGACCAATATAGCCACCTTTCTTTGCAAGGACACTCAAAAGCCTGCCATCCATGGATTCTGTCAGTGTTTTGATCTGTTCACCATCAACATTGCGTGCAGCAGCAACCACAGCCTCCCAGACACTGTTCAGAGAGGTGTACTGTTTTCCCTCCTTGTAAATCTCACATTTGATGATGGACCACAGGTTCTCAATGGGGTTCAGATCAGGTGAACAAGGTGGCCATGTCATTAGTTTTTCTTCTTTTATACCCTTTCTTGCCAGCCACGCTGTGGAGTACTTGGACGCGTGTGATGGAGCATTGTCCTGCATGGAAATCATGTTTTTCTTGAAGGATGCAGACTTCTTCCTGTACCACTGCTTGAAGAAGGTGTCTTCCAGAAACTGGCAGTAGGACTGGGAGTTGAGCTTGACTCCATCCTCAACCCGAAAAGGCCCCACAAGCTCATCTTTGATGATACCAGCCCAAACCAGTACTCCACCTCCACCTTGCTGGCGTCTGAGTCGGACTGGAGCTCTCTGCCCTTTACCAATCCAGCCACGGGCCCATCCATCTGGCCCATCAAGACTCACTCTCATTTCATCAGTCCATAAAACCTTAGAAAAACCAGTCTTGAGATATTTCTTGGCGAATCGAAATGTTAACTGAAGAAAATGTTGCAAGCACTGGTGATCACACTGATAATGTGGTCCTATTCAGTAAAATGGGCCAAAAAATGGCATAAAACGCTTAATTTCTCAAAAAGTATAAAATTTATCATCACCAAAAGATATAGCAGGCATTAGCAGAAGGAGCAGAACAGTTTAAAGTTTGAATGGTTAAAATCAGCTGAAACTGAGGGAAACCAGCAAAGGTCGGAGCAACTAGAATAAGGTAGAAGAATAAAGAACTAGAAAAAGATGCATTTCCTGCAAAAATGCAGTGTGAATGCTGTGTAGTGGAATCTGCTGAAATAAGCTGAAAAGCAGAATTATCTGCTGAAAAGATGTGAAGAAGCTGGAATTTGGGCTGAAAACAAGTGAAAAAGCTGAGCTTTTAGCTGAAAAGGGGTGAAGGAAATGATTTCTTTGCTGAAAAGAGTTGAAAGTCTAAACCTTCTACTGAAAACAGCTGAAGAATCTGGGATTTGTGCTAAGCTGAAGATTGTGCTGAAAAAAGCAGAAGAGGCTGAAAATTGTGCTATAAAGAGGTAAAGAACCTGAAGTTTGCTGAAAACAGCTGAAGAAGCTGGAATTTGTGCTGAAAAGTAGTGAAAAACTGAAAGTTTTGCTAAAAAGAGGTGAAAAAGCTGAAATTTGTGTGGGAAAGAGTTTAAACAGTTGAAGTGTTAACTGAAGAAAATGTTGCCATAAGCAGGATTTGAACC